GGTGACGACTCGCTGAGCGCCCGCAAGTTCATTACTCTGGATCGCGGTATACCGGCGATCAAAAACTCCGGATCACAACATCCTACCCATTTGAGCGATGTTTGTGGAGTCATGGACGGTTTGACGCAACTGCTTCGAGCGCACCATGACGCGTCAGAACCTTCTCCGCCGCTGGTCGGCAACTTGGTGCAATTGCTGGAAGGCCTGCGATCTGCCATAAAATGAGCAAGTCAGCACGTATACTGGTAATTTGGACTCGCACATGTACGACTATATGTAGGATATCATGAAGCGCCGGCGCATTGCTATTCTTCATCAACATTTGGTAATAGTCATATCTCATCTATGAGATGTTCGGTTTAATTCAACACCCGAGAGCCAGCCCATGCGGATGGATGACTCCCGCTTCAAGCCTGTGAATAGCGATCAAGACCGTCAATCCTTGGTGCCGACCTCGAGCCCAGCGCTCTGGACGGTTCTTACGCACGTAAATGCCCCATGCTTGCTCATCACGCCAAGGCAATACTGTCACAGTACACATGCAGCAAAGCCGCGCACGTTCCCCACCCGTTCTCCACATGTCAATGCATCTCGCTGCATCCTTCCACCGCACAGCCGGAAAAGGTCAGATCCAAGGATTCCAAACTCGATCTCGCGCCGTCATGTTAGCTTCTCCCTTGCACAATCCGCTGCAACTAGCTTTCTCCAGATGCAAACCCCGCAAATCTTGGCCGTATCCAGATGGTCTTGGTCGCCTCCACATTCCGAGTTACCCCAGACTGGGGATGCGACGGAGTCCAAGCGTCCAATGAGAGTGTTGTGAGGCGCTATGAAGCCTGTCTGATTTGTCGACGGCGAGATGCCAGGCGTAACACACCGACGTGCCTTGCAAAGGCGTGTTGTTCAACGGTTCGACCGTGCGGTCTATTTAGATTGGAGGACTATGGCCGCAAACACCACCGTTGTTGGATATTGTCGGCATCGCAGAATCATCTCCGCGGTTTTCTCGCTCGCCCTGAATCATCAGATTGCTACTGATTCATCGCGATGACTTCTCTAAAACAGGCGTTCAGCATCTCGAAAGAGGAGGTGAAGAATGCCCGACCGCCAGGAACCGCAACGCTCGTTGGTAAGATATCACCAACTCCCCTGAACGTCTTGCTAATAAAGCTGCCATCAGAACATCTCGAATGGACAGCGTCGCAAACAAATCACGATGAGATCCGTCTCGTGCCTCAGCCATCCGCCGACCCAGCGGATCCTCTCAATCTGCCCATGTGGCGCAAGCTCGCAGTGCTGGCTGTCATGTCGATACATCCATTCGTGGTAAACTTCACCAGTGCCTCCATCTCAAGTGCATTGCCCATCTACGCGTCCACGGGCGTGTTTGGCTTCCCGCCAAAGACGTTCTCGCAGTTGACGTATTTCATCGCGTGTAACATTCTCATGCTGGGCGCGTCGAACTTGTGGTGGGTTCCGCTGGCGAACACGTTCGGTCGCCGCCCGGTTGTGCTGGGCAGCTTGTTGCTCCTGATTTTCTCGAGTATGTGGGCTGGTCTTGCGACTAGCTTCAACAGTCTGGTGGCTGCGAGGATCTTCATGGGTATTGGGGGTGGGCCGGCTGATGCTGTGAGCCCGGATGTTGTTGGTGAGATCTTCTTTGTGCATCAGCGTGGACGTGCTTTGGTAAGTCTTCTTTCCCACATCTTTCGAGTAGACTGGCACTAACAGAACGTCCACAGGCCATATACACGGTCATGTTGTCCTTCGGCTCCCTTGTAGGCGCCGTCGCGGGTGGCTATATCGTCGCCGACATGGGCCTTTCCTGGCTCCACTGGATGAACGTGCTCCTCTCGGCCATCACATTCGTCCTATGCCTCTTCTTCCAAGCCGAAACCCTCTACGACCGCAAATCCACCACCGTCACCTTCTCCGACGACCCCGATAAGCAAACCGTTGAGACCAAAGAGAGAGTCGTCGTCGCAGATGCCGCCAGCCCATCTTCTTACCCATCCTACTCCTACGCTAAGTCTCTTCGACTCTGGTCCTACCGCCCTGGTCTCGTGCAAAACTTCCTTGCTCCATACAAGACGCTCAGACTACCGGGTGTATGGCTAGTGTCAGGGTGGTACGCCGGCCTCGTCGGTCTCATCGTCACCATGTCGAGTGTAGGACCTCAACTCGTTGCCGCGCCGCCTTATCTATGGGGAAAGAACGTCGGACTCATCAACATCGGCGGTATCTTTGGCGCTCTTCTCGGATGCGTAAGTTCCTATAACCCTACCATCAGGGTTAGCGTTTACTAATACATATTTCCAGGTCTACACCTACCTCATCGCCGACTTCGCAACCAAGCGCCTCGCAAAGAAAGATCTCCACGGCTTCTCGGAACCTGAATCCCGTCTCGTCACCGCACTGCCCGCACTCGCCCTCGCCACAATCGGCGCCTTGATCTTCGGCTTCGTAGCGCAGAACCCCTCGCCTACAGGCTGGGTTGGTCTGCAATTCGGTTTCGGACTCGTCGCTCTCGGGCTCATGCAAGCGCCATCCGTTGGCTTCAACTACCTGATTGAATCCTACGGGATGCTTGCTGGAGACTGCTTTGTTGCTGTTACATGTGTGCGTGCTATCATTAGTTTCGCATGGACGTTCTTTGTCGGCGAGTGGGTTACGCATCAGGGTGCTGCGGAGCCGTTTGGTATCTTCGGTATGCTGATGGGTGTGTTTGGGCTGTTGACGATTCCCATGTTGATCTGGGGGAAGCGGTTGAGGATCTGGACTGCTAAGTGGGTTCCCGAGGGCGCGGGTTTGTAAGAAGAGATGCGGACCTGGGGTTATTATTGCTGAGTAGCTCCGTTAGTGCTCACCGTATTACGTAGTGTACAATCTCGGATTAACGTCTTCATTGAGCGTGTCTTCTCTGATTTTCCTCGTGATGTTCAAGTGCACAGTCATTCTAGCTCTTTCTCCTAAGTCTGGCGCCCGTGTTCTTGATGACCAGCGAGCATCGCGCTGCCATCTTCATGATTAGCGCATCACGACAACCACGCAACACAATAACCTAGCTCTCTGTAAGAATGCGCAATACCATTCAATCTATATTACACCCCACCCTCAAACAAACGCCCACCTCCTCAAGCCCGCCCGCACACCAAAGAATAGCGCCGAGCCAATACATGTCAAAATAGGAATACCGTACACACCCAACCCGATAAAGATACCCTGCTCAAAGTAACCAATTGCGATTGACTCAGCGCGCTTCTTCTCTTTAATCTCCTGTGTCGCTTTGCTAAGCAGCTCGGCTGCTGCCTTCTTCGAGTCCTTACCCGAAAGGACCTTCGACATTGTCGCTTGCGAGGCAGGTGCTGCGATGTATGCGGGCGAGATACGAGTGAAATGCTGGGCTGTGTATCGCTTCTCCACATCGACGGGCTGGAAAGACGGAGCAGCCGGGCCGAGAAGCAGACGGAAGGGAATGCTGTTCGTGAATGACGCGTCGGCGTTGACGAACTGTGAGAGATATTTGCCCGTGGACGGGGTGCCGAAGTGGTATGCAGCCAGCAGACTCTGTTGGGGGTCTAGGTCGTCCTCGACGAGGCTGATAGCATGTTCCAAAGATGTGATTGCTGAGACGCAGAAGACGGGCTGTGGGGACTTGGATGGTAGGGAGGAGAGGTTGGTGAGCTCGACGACGGCGCCGTTGTCGCCTTGTGTTATGGTGTTTAGCTTCCAGGACTTGCTGTCTGTGAGCGCTTGGAAGGTTTCTGCTACGCGTGAAGACTTCTTGTGCTCTCTTGCGTTGGTTGAGCCGTTTGACACGCCACTGGATCCGGCCAGGAAGGGGAGGGAGTGTCGAAGAACGTGCTCGAGGAATTCCTTCTTGATGAACTCGTTGACGAGGACGACGTCGGGGGCGTATGGTGATGTTCCACCGAATGCGAAGCGTGCTGTTACTAGTTGCTCGGCTGCTGATGCGAGATCTGCTGTGCGGTCCACAACTGCGACGATTTTGTTTCGTGGTGATACGAGTTGTGTGTATGTTGGCGAGCTGACTTGTGTCTCTTGGAATACTTGCAGACAGGCTGATAGTGAGTCTGAAGGAGGATCGGAGGAGGTGACAGCAAAGGTATCTGATTCGAGAGCTTCGGTAAGCAGCTTTCGGAGTAGGGAAGGAAGAGCGCGAAGGTTGTTCTCGAGCTGCAATCTAATTAGATGGCGTTCTGTATTGAGGTTGCAGAAAACTGACCTTCAGTGCTATGCAGCTGCCGGTTGCGAGACCAGCGCTCAAAGGTGCAATGACCGAGAAGAACGGCGTATGACTTCTTTGAGGCTCGATATACGCAACACCCCAAGGTTCTCTCTTATCACTAGCATCTTTGCCATTGGTGATTCTGTACTCGGCTTCCAGCTCTTTGGCCGCATCAATCGAGCCATAGTGCTCCTTGACCACATCCAGGGCAAGCGCAACCTCGGTGATCGCCTCTTCATCCGACACGTGCGTATCTTGCTTCAGAGCATCTGCGATTGCATTGCTGCTGTTGCGCAGCGCATCATGCAGCGATTTGAGTTGTTTGAGACGGAAGAGAGCGTTGTGGCAGCGGGCAGTAAGCGCAGTCGCCTGCAGATTGGCCAGCGCAACTTCGGGGGTGATGGGCGACGACATTACAAATGGCAGGAACAGACCGAACAACAAAAATGATTTTCCAGAAGAAATGTCCTCCAGACTGCGATATGTAATGTAAGCTCTAGGAGGTGTACGGATATTCTGACACGGCAGTCAGCCCATTTGCGCCGGCAATGCTGCCGACAGTACGCGGGCGCGATGAATCCCCCCACATTCCGACGATTGCGACCCCTGCCCCCAGCTTCTCCGCGTGTCTCCAACTTTCGGACCGCGAGGGACGCGTACTTCCATCTCACGTCGCTCGGGGTAGTAATATTGTTGTTTCCATAGACGTCGTCGCCAACTTTGTCCCACCAAGTCCACTACCGCTGTCAACATGTCTGTAACAACCACCGCCAACCCGATCCACTACAACCTCGAGGCCACCCTCGCAGACTACGATCTCCATCACAGCGGGGAACAGACTGAAGGACTCGATACAAGCCTTAATGCGCATCCAGCACCGAATACGTCGTCAACGCAATCACAGCAGAACCCTAGCGACTGGCCGACGGAACATCGCCGTGTGCCTGCGTACCGCCCGATCAACCACGAACTCGATCAGAGCGAGCGGAGAGTCTATTTGAACGGCATTGAACAAGCATTTGTCGGAGTCATGTTCACAGGCGTATTCTTGGAATCGGTGAGTATTTGAGCTTGACCAGGAGGGCGTGCACGCTAACAACTATGCGCAGACATTGTCCAAGGCGTGGCGGAATACTCTGGGACGAGTCTGGAATGTTGGATACAAGATTGGTGGGGAGTGGTGAGGGACATGGTGTACATAGACCAACATTTTAACGGCGCTCACAATTCTCAATTCTTTTCTACATCCATGATACTGCTGCAACCTTTTGTGAAACGTCAAAATCATGTTTGCAGTGCTCTATGCTTCATTCCAGAGTATATTACCCAACGCGCATGTCGATCTCGTTCAGGCATCCCTCATGACATACATGCAGCGAACACCACATACGCGCATCCTCGGCTCAGTCAGCATGCGCCACCAACCACCACCCACATCGCATTTAGCCTGCGAACTGCGACAGCTCACTCCGCAGATAGTAATCACCTTCGGACTCCGAGAGGCGCCTTCACAGTGCCCTGCATTCAGTCTACCACCAACCCACCCATACTAACCCGCATGTCCACACCCACAGCGCCGGGAAGTGGAGGGCGCCCATCCCCATCTTGAACCGATCATCAAGGCAAACACGATTTGTGAACCGGCAGAAGTAGAAGGGATCTAGTTGCCAGAGCTATCTAGACAAATTTCATCTGGGGCTTGAGACATACTCTTTGCTCTCTTCTCATACTGTGCTGTTGCAACTTCAAGCATCTTGCAGCGCTTCTCTCATACACACCCATCATGGACTTCACGAACGGTACCAACGGTATCAACGGGCACACACCTTCATCCTCACAACCCCTCAAAATAACAATTTGCGGCGCTGGTATCGGCGGCCTCAGCGCAGCCATCTTCCTGCGTCAACGCGGACACACAGTAACCCTCCTGGAAGCCTCCCGTTTCGCCAACGAACTCGGTGCAGCCGTGCACCTAGCACCCAACGCCAACGGTCTCCTCCGTCGCATGGGCATGGTCCCAGAAGCCCAAGGCGCGGTAGCATGTCGTCTGATGACGCAGATGCTGCCAAATGGCAAGGAACTCTTTACCGTGCCGCTCGAGCACGACGCGGCGAGGTGGCAGCATCCCTGGCAGCTTGGGCATCGCGTGAGTCTGCACAGTGAGTTGAAGAGATTGGCTACGTGTGAGGAGGGGGAGGGGAAGCCGGCTGTTCTTAGACTGCGGGCGAAGGTCGTGGATGTTGATGCTAAGGCGGGTGTTGTTGTATTAGAAGATGGAGAGAAGATCCAGAGCGACGTTGTTGTTGGCGCAGATGGCGTGCATTCCAAGGCTCGACCCCGGATTCCTGGCGCGGAGAATATCAAGACTTTTGGGAGTGGGAAGAGCGCGTTCCGTTTCCTGATTCCCAGGCAGCGGGCGTTGGATGATGAGATGACGCGCAAGTTTGCGGAGAAGGAGGGCCATCTCATTATGATCTTTGCGAGGGATCGGAGAGTGGTTGTGTACCCGACGTCTAACAATACGTTGTTGAACTTTGTTTGTATTCATCCGACGTCTGAGAGTCAGATTGATCCGAAAGAACCCGGGAGCAGTGACTGGCAGAACCAAGGTAACTTGAACAAGATGTTGGATGTGTACAAGGACTTTGAGCCTGCGGTGCTCAAGTTGCTGGGTATGGCGGACGAGGAAACGTTGAAGGTGTGGGAGTTGCTGGACATGGACCAACTGCCGACCTGGACAGATGAGAAGCTGGTGCTTATTGGCGACGCTGCACATCCATTCACACCTCGTAAGTTCAGTCCTCGCTTCATCATCGTAACGAGAATCAAGCTGATCGCATCCCAGACCAAGGACAAGGCGCAGGCCAAGCCATCGAAGACGCCGCCTCCCTCGCGGTCATGCTCCCCCTCGGCACACCCCTCGACTCCATCCCTGCACGCCTCAAGCTCTACGAAAAATGCAGATACGAACGCGCCTCCACCATCCAAGAGTACTCCCGCGTAGCAGGCAAAGATCTCGGCAGCGGCCCCCCAGTTGACCCCCACAAGTTCACAAACTACAACTTCGGCCACGACGAATGGGACTACTCCAGCCAAATGCTCCGCAAATGGGAGTGGGAGAACAAGAAAGGTCTGTTCTGGCGGATGCCTACGGCTTTTGGTCCGATGCCAGGCCCGAGACAAGACTTCGCTGGACGGCCGAGAGATGGGTCGAAGGCTACGTTCAAGACAGCTAGTATCAAGTTCAAGACGAGCCGGACTGTGTTGGAGAACCTGTTGCCGACGGAGAAGTTGAAGTTTGCGGTTGCCGATACAGCTTGCTATGCGAGTTTTGCGGTGACGCAGCTAGACAATCTGGAGTGGCTTGGTGGCAGGGGATACAGTCATTTCGGACTGTACATCCACGGTATCCAGCACACGAAAGCGGATGGCGAGACGGTGACAGGAACATACCTACCCATCCTCTTCGAGAACCTAGCTGATCCCATACTGAGTGGAAGGGAGGAGCTAGGCTTCCCCAAGCTCTTCGCAGAGCTCGATGTGAAGAGTGACGGCGGCAAGTGGACGCTCGACGCAGGCTGGATGTCATCCAAGTTCTGCAGCATGTCACTGTCCGGACTGCAGGAACATTCCGCAACGAACGATGAGGCGCCAAGACTCTCTCCTCCTCTTCCGAAAGACGAAGGCCTTTTGTTGCACAAGTATGTACCAGCTACTGGTAACATGGGTAGCAAGGAGCGCGGGCAGGCGGATGTGGAATACACCACTTTTCTGCCGGGTGAGGAGGATGCGAAGACCGTGGAGAAGAAGGTCGGGCGGACGTTGAAGGCGAGCTCGGCTGAGATCTCTTTTGATGCTCTGGATTGGAAGGCGCTGCCGACACTGCATCACATCGTCGAGAGACTCAAGGAGGTGCCCGTGTACGGGGTCATTGAGGCCAAGGTCGTCGAAGGTACCGGAGTAAGTGACGTGAGCTCAATCCGGAAGCTAGCATGAGCTGTATCATCTGTAGCTATCAGCACATCTCATAGTTAGCCATATCCAAACAACAACTTCCAAAAGCGACTTCCCACCTGCAATACTGTAATGCCTTTCATTCTTCATCTATCAAAAGGCCCCCAACTCCTACAAATGAGACAAGCGCTTGTCCTGAAGCTATAGATATAAATGGGGTATTACCAGGTTCTCCCTCTATCAGTTGCCGCCGCCAAAAACACCTTACTGCCATGCCATATCAATGCAACAAATACAACATAGGAAAAAGAAGTGGTGATCAATGCATCTCATCCGAAGAGTTTGGAAACATCGAGTCTGTGCTGGTTTGTTGAGTCGGCTTCTTGGGCGCTGCCTTCACTGGAGTGCAGTCGGACCAGTCTGCCTCTGCCGGCGGTTCCGGCACTGTGCTGGCGGAGGAAGGATGCCAAGAAGGGCGATTATATGCGTCCTCGTCCGGGACATCCGCGCCTGTACTGGGTCAGTCGTGAGCCCTGCAAAAGACTCGCTGAGGTAGAACAGCCCAGAGAGACACGCAGGGAAGGTCTACGCACTCGCGACGCCCAGACCCTCGCAGAGTCTCTTCCTCCACTGTCCACAGACGTCCTCAAACCCATCCAGCACATTTGCACATGCCCGTTTCGCCTCCCTCTCTTTGAGCCGCCGGTCCCAGTCCCCGTGCTCGATGTATTCCTGTCCCTCTTGCGTCTTCTCGTTGTCGCGTTTCCAGTCCTGCAATTGTTCTTTGCTGACTTTGAGCCTTCTGGCTGCATTTGCGGTTGTTTGCCGTGACATGTGTAGGGTATCGCTGACGTTTGAGAGGTGTTGGATGAGTTCGCGGCTCGAGTGGGTAAGGTGGGATATGGCAACGAGCGGATCGGCGGAAGGGTGGGGTAGCAGCTCCAGTGTGTTCTGTATGATGGGGAGAAGTTCGTCGATGTCTTCCGGGTCGGGAAGGATGGCGAATGGGCCTGAGAAGGATACGGCGATGGACGTGAGGGTACGCGATTGGTGTGTCAGATGCGTTGTCAGAGCCTCGTGAGCAGTCTTTAGTCTGGGATTTGTTAGCGATGACTGGACATGCCTGCGAGTTGGTACATACCTCGTCGCTCCATTCTCCATAGCAATCTGGCTGCCAAGATCTCGGAGTTGTTGTGTCACCCTCTTCACCACCTCGTCCGATGCGCTCCCATTCTCCTCCATGCCTCTCCGTGCCAGACTCTCGATAGCCGCCATCCGCGCGTCGAGCGCGGGCGAGATGCCCTCATTTTCCAGGTCAGAGTCATCGCCGTAGTCGGAGCCATCGTACAGCGACCGTTGCCTTGTGTGCTTTTTCGTCTTAACGGCCGACCCTGGACTGAGGCGCGCCGGAGACGAGTCCTGCATGGCAACCCCACTATCCCGGACACCGTTGAGGCTAGCTGCGCTGTCGACTCCATAAGAGCCGTCGTGCTCTACAGCCGTGCCGATGTTCTCGTCTTGTGCTTCGTCCAGTTCCTCGCCGTATTCGCCCTCCATGCCTTCGTCATCATCGTCGTACATCTCGCCGAGCTCGTCGGCCAGGTTGCCCAAGCCATTGCCGTCTCCTCCGCCGTCGAATTGGTGCGCGGGGCTGTGTTCGAAATCTTGCGATGAGCGCGGCGTTATGGGCGAGTAGCCAGAGTTGCGGCGGGTGAAGGACTGCCGTCTCGATGCGGTGTTGTGTGACATGTCTAGGCTGGAGGGGTGTCGGCGGTGCGAAGATGCAGGCCGCTGGGTGGGAGTGCTGGGAGGGGACGACATGGCGTTGTCGTGGTATTGCGATAGTCGCCGGTGTTCCGAACACGTCGAAGGCTCGTGAAGTCGCGGAAATGAACAAAGGCGGACCGCATTAGGAGTCCCCAGTCGGAGATCTACGCGGGAGTGAACCGTGATCCAGGGCGCGCAATGCGCGTCAGCCTCGCAGCACCTGCACGACGCGGCTCTGCCCTAGCAAGCCGCCAAAAGTCTATGTAATTGCGCTGGGATAGGAGGTCCTGTGGCGGGGTATCGGCGTCTTGACGGCCTCAGAGCTTCAGCGATGGTGCCGCCTTGGCTGTGGCTGCGGAGATGCGCCTCAGGTACCAGGTGCTATGATGCGTGATGATAAGTGGCTTGTGCCGCTTAGCGATAGAGCGCGTGCAGTCAAGGCGTGCGAAATAACAACGATGGAGCCTCGGTTGCCGTCGAGCCGTCGAGCCTGGTGTTTGTTGACGCTTGCCGTGTGTTTGGAATTAGTGGCTTGCGCGAAGGCTTGTGGACCCTTCTTTGCACGAGTGAAAGGGGTATGGGTATCCTGGTAGCAGGTGACCTTGATACGATGACGCTCGTATCTCACTCATACACTAGTATTGCAGCAGATGTGTATCGGTTCAGTAACGACCGTGGATTCTTCATAGCTGATAGCGCGTTTTGACTCAGACACATGTCAGACAATACGACCTTTTACATCCGAACGCTCTCCAATGCTGTGTAACCTCAACCCCAAACACTTTCAAGATGGGTATCGCGTGCGATCATCCTAAGCTGGGCCGAAACACGCTCACAAACTCCAAGACGCCTGAACATGACCTTACTCATGCCGCTATAGGTACTGCCATATAGCACCCATGCAATTCAATGCCCACAGAACTCCTGTAATGCCCTCATAATGCCGCTGAAATGGATATCGGGTGTGTATGCGATTATTGCGCGGGTTTGGTCTGCTCGAGACTGGCGATCTGCTTCTTCAGCTGTGTGAAGAAGTCCTGGCCGGTCGGCATGAGGTGTGTCATGGTGCCTGGTCTCGGTCAGTATGCCAGCCTCGGTGGTGGTTCGATGACGCCTTACCTCCTTTGCCCCATGCGCCAGTGCTTCGGGTCGGAACAGAGTCGCCGGGGACCTTGTGGTATACCGAGGGTTGGTCTGAAAGCATGTTAGTCTTCTGGACATGCGCGCGGGTGATGGAGAGGTTCATACTGGCTGTACTCTCAAGGTATTCTGCAATCGATTAGCTCATGCCATATCGCGTTCCAGCAATGCTATAAACGTACTCTTCTTGAGGAAGTCCCTGACCTCGTTCGCATTGAACTCTTTCACAGGTACGTGCTGGTCGGGCTGCGCTTGAGCTGGTGCAGTCGCGGGGCCTGGTCCTTTCCCCTGCTTGGCTCCCCATACGTTCCCCGTGGGCGCTGGCATGGCCTGCTGCCGGCCTGCATTGTCCTTGGTGGGGGTGTTTGCGCCCGAGTTGGAGTTGCGGTTGGCTTGACCCTGCCGCCGCCAGCTGTGGCAGTTGTCAGTATCTTAGGCTCCCACAGCTTCGCGTGCGCATTGCTCAGACGTACCGATTTTCTCCCGGGCCACTCATGTTCGGTATGGAGCAACGGTGGGATGTGAGGAGGGGTCGGGTCAAGATATAAAATGGTGGAAGCTCTCCAATCGCTCATGCAGCGCGCGAACTGCGTCTGTGCTGCAACGTCTAAACCAATGGGCGCCCGATGACATATTATAGCTGCAACCTCTTTCGGCCAGCTCACCAGTGCTAGCCGCTTTCAGGCCTATTTCAACACTATTCACAGCCATTATCCAACGAGTGGATGGCAATTTTTGGAGCTTTCTAATCCGCGCCGATGTGTTGTACATCACGTGTGCTGTCCTCCAATGGCAGGAGCCACCGGACGTGTCCAGCCTACGCTAGCTACAGGGTTCTCAAGGCCTCCATCCATGCATGAACCACGGCAACGGCTCCTAATGGACCAACATGTTCTTTGTTTCCCATCTTTGCTCACCGTCATTGTTCATGGCCCGTCTCGGGATCGAGTCGGGCGGCTTGAGAAAGGAAGAGGCTGGTATGCTGTGTCATCAGGCCGAACATTCATCGCCGAACGTAGCCCGGTTCAGGTTTGCAGAGCCTCAACGTATTTGCTTAGGAAGTGACGATGATCAGTACTGTTTCACAAGGTCTCGAAGGGATGGGTTGTTACTTCCCGATCAGAACTCATCTCAATTGCGAGATGACAAACAAATCATCAAGGAGTGACATCATGTCCGAGCTGGTCAGGTAAGAGGTAGGCCGACGGTGAGAGACCAAATTCGCACTTGGAAGGGCAGGAAGCATGCACTTCCACTGATGGTATGAACAGGTGAGAGACATCCAAGTGATAGTGAAGTCTCTACCTCTTCTACTTTTTTTCCTTCTGAGTTTACCTACCGTTTTGTCACTTACTTAACAATCTCCTCACTACCTTCTCTGTTCGGGACGCACTCATCAAAGCTTCTGACCTACCGGTCCTCAGCCTGCAATAACCAAGCTTTCACCCACTGTTCGCAGATACCAGATACGAAGATGAGGGGCTCCCTTGTCTGGTTTGCTGGACTCGCGCTGTGTGTGCAACACCTACAGTCAGGCACGTTAACACTGAATCATGAACGGCCCAACAAAAAGCGAACGGTCTATGTAATGGACGAGGAAGACTTTAGGGACACTTTCGATGATTTCGATGACGAGACTGTCGCGGATCCGGAATCCGGTCTTGAGGCAAGCGCAGTTGGACTGAGTCTACGACTGATCAAAAACGATGGAGTGTTGAAGGTAACTTTCGAAAGCGAACATGGCGGAGTGGTGGACTGGACATTCCAAGGCTTGGGAAACGCCAACGCGGGTAGCATGACAGCTTGCGCCTTCACGCAGACAATGTCCGAGACATCGACAAGCTGCGAATGCATGGGGATGCTGCCGCCACAATTATCGAACAGCACTATCCAGACAGTGAACACCGAACCCAACCCAGAACGCATCGCTCGGCCTCGAGCATTGAGTCTTAGCATCATCTCGACCACTGAAACCCGTCCCTTCAAACGTAAAGCGACAGAAGACATGGAACAGCCTAAGCCACACAAGCGCGCGAGGAGTTTGCACGACTCTGTTCCATGGCCTAACCACCTTCACATGACTTGTTTTCGCACACAACCCGTCTTCAAAAGCAACATCGGAACTTTGCATATCGACCTTATAGACGGTACAGTGTGGTTCGAGGGCTGGTACGGAAAAGCGAATGCACGAACTTACGAGAAGCAGCAGATCGATCTCTGCGATCCATCAAGTAAGTTTTTCGAGTGCGGAGAATAAAGATTTTCTTGTTACTCTTCGAGCATATAGGATAGAAACTAACACATGCCATCAGTTAATGTCGAATACTTATACCACGACGACAACGACGCCGGGACCGACAAATCCACCCACTATCTCAAGATTACCAAGATAAACGAGAAGTTCGAACTGGAGACCTTGTTCTTAGCACGCTGTTCTGCTTACGGTTGGCAGATATGGGGTTCAGACAGAGACACAAGCCCAGGTCCCAACTCCACTACTTTCACAAGCCGAGAAGGGTATAGGATCAGAAACGCTCGCCTTGGCCGCAACATTCCGAGTTCTCTTCCCGATAATACGACAACGAAAGATGTCACACCTACCGTCATCGTCGACGCGATTGTTCACTGCATTGACCGCGCAACTCAACGTCAACCTATTCACGACCCAGAGACTGAGCATAAGTTAGACCAAGATCATGACCTCCTCACTATTGACCTAGCAAGTGAGGAGCAGTCTGAAGAAGCTGATAAGAAATATTTGGCCGAGGATAAGAAGTATCAGGAGTGGGTGGACCGTAGCAATCAACACAGAACTGTGCAAGATCTGGAAAGATCGCGCTACAGAAGAAAGGGTAGAAGTGCAAAGTGAATGGGTTGACGGAGAGTGTTATGGATCTGGAATGCATGAGAGCCATTCTTGGCCTTTAGCGAGACTTAGCTTGTTCAAAAGCGATACTATGTCTGCTGCCGCGAGTTTGGTGGGAAGGTCGACTCAATGGGTTTGCAGTTCAGCTGCTATTAGCTCCTGGGAATTGTGCATCTGGTCCACACACAGTCCGAGCTCATTAGACTCGGAGTAATTGAATCTTCTCTCATGAACATGCAATTGGCTTGGGGAGTGCTGCTACTTCAGCGGAAGAGTCGATGTAGCCGCTCAAAGCAAGGTATACACAAAACGTAGACATATATACCGAACAACAAGCACTGCTCGTGCATAAATCAAACACTCATTGGTATACATAAACCCGCACTTCCTTGCGCATAAACCCAAAGTCCCAACTCTCAACGAAACACAATTGCACTTGCCTCCCATGGATATATCTACGCCGGCGCAGCAGCTCCCTCGCCATTCTCCCCACCATTACCACCCCCACCCGTAAGACTAGACATAAACTCCTGCCATCTAAACACCTCGGTCCTATTGCCCAAGCTCTTCCCTCCCTTAGCGAAGGCCCTCCGTCCACTAAACCCCTCAATAGCCATATCAATCTCCCGCTCCGTCAACTTCCTCTCGCCAGCTTCAGGCGCCGTATGCAACAGCGCGTCCTTCAACTCCGCCAAATCAATCTGACCATCGTCGTTGTCATCGAAGGCTTCGAACGCGGCGGTCAGTTCGTTCTGGTGGGAGAGGTTGCCGAGGAGGTCGGAGAGCGTTGTCAGGTAGGTGGCTAGGTTGATGGATTGCGCGCCGTTGAAGTAGGTGGAGAGCTGGGAGGGGGTGGCCGAGAGACCGAGTTGGGAGAGCATGTCTGCGACATCGGCGGAGTTGACGTGGCCGTCGTCGTCGCGGTCCATGACGCTGAAGGACTCGCGCATGCTGTGGAGGAGGGGTGGGGGCAGTTTGGAGAGGGCGTCGCTGGAGGCCATTCGTTGCATGGGTGCTGGTCGCGCTGTGCGCTCTGCTGGCTTGTAGGTCTCGACGGGTTTGTAGGTCTCGACAGGCTTGTAGGTTTCGACTGGCTTGTAGGTTTCGACTGACTTGTGTGTCTCGACCGGCTTAGGCTCCTCAACTGGAGTATAAATCTCGGCTGGCTTGAGGCTCTCAATTGGCTCGATATTCTCGACAGGTGGTGACTTCTTCCTACTGAACAGAGGCGGTGGTGCGTCGTCCCTCCCGGCGGCCTCAAACTTGGCTGCGATGGACGATGTACTTAGAGGGCGCACCGTCATCTGCGAAGACGAGGAAACATTTCGCGTTGGCGAGACATTGCGTCCAGGTGAAAGATTCCGAGAAGGCGAATTGGGCGCTTCTGGGGTGCCCGTCGTCCCCCGTGTGTTCAGCCAGGATGGCGGGTTTTGCGATGGGTTGCCCCCGATGGACAGACGGTTGGGGGTTTGCGCAGGGGAAGTCGGAGTCTCTTTGGGCTTTAGAGGCGAACTGTTCGGCGTCGACGGCCGCAGGGTAGAGGGTGAGCTCTCCCTGATGGAGCCTGGTCTCCGGAAGGGCGACTGTCGCGGGCTGTTGAAGGAGAGGGGCGAGGGCTTGTAGGGCGTGGGTGTTGTAGACTGCATATCTGGATTAGTCGCATTCGTGCAATTCACAAGGGTCCAGCATACCATGGTGCGTATATTCGTTTTGGTGATGTCGTTGGTCGTCGCGTTGTTTGGTGTTGTCCATGGGATGGCCTAGCAACGAGCCTATCGATAAGCTGACGTGGGTAATTGGCGTGGGCATGCAGGGTTCGTTCACTCTCTGCGGGCAGCATAGCGGGTCACACGCATAGTCACAGCTCCGGATACTATGCGGTAGCCATTCATGCTCCCAGACCCACGGCCTGCTCGATCAGTTCCCCATCACCGCCAGCTACAGCGCGTCATGTTGTTTCGGGACGGTTACATTAGGCTCCCCTAGCGCCGTCGATCTATAATGTAGCATCCGAGTCGCCAGGTGCCCGTACAGAAGAAGATGGAGACACTCATGGCTGAAGTAATCGCACAGCGGCCAAGCGGGCCCAATGCCGCTCAGCCTGTTTCCCTGCAACGCCAGCCCTCCTTCTCCTCGTTCCCTCCCTCGCGATCGCCCTCTACCCGCAATGGCCACCATCCGAAAGCTCGCTCCCCGCAACCTCCCATGCTCCGCGAGGGCGACGAAGACGACTCAATCCAGTCCTCGCACGACGAGTCGTATCAGTCCTCCATGGCCGCCATTCCCAGAGGAACCGCCAAGTTGCGCTCGCAGTATCCCGCCGACGCAGTTGAGAACCACGTCGAGTACATCCTGGTCGCCTCGTTCGACATTGACCGCGGCTCCATCATGGAGCACCAGTACCCGGCGGCTATCAGTGGAGACGAGACTATGCTAGCAGAGCTCATGTTGCCCGATCAGGCCCACGTGCGCAGCCAAGATTGGACCATCTTCTTCCTGCACAAGGACACCACAGCCGAAGAGGAGGAGCGCGAGGCACGGAGAGAGCGCAGGAGGAGGAGACGGCGGCGGAAAGAGGGCTTGGAAGATGATGGTGAAGACGATGCGACTGCCGGCACTGAAGAGCAAGAAGACGAATACGATGACGGAGACGACGACACTGAAAGCGAAGGGGAGCCAGACCCTGACGGGCCCCCGTTGGTCTATGTCTTGAACCTGGTCAACACCAAGCAGGACAACACAGTGAAGAGGTAGGAAGAGCGTCTCCATATATCCGGCAAGACTGACAACATGTAGAGGTGCCATCGTCAAAGCCATGGCTATATGCACGCGCCATCCTTTCCTGCATATATACAAGCCCCTGCTGCTACTGGCTCTCGAGGAATACTTCAGAGCACCTGTCCTGGAGACGCTCGAATCTCTGTACAACGCCCTCAATGCCATGGACCTCTCACTTCTCCCGAGACTCTCACCCCTGGAGAACTTCGTGCTTGGCGCCAGCGATGCCAAAGACATGTTCGTGGAGAAGTTTGAGCTCATGGTCCGGCAGAGGAAGAAGCTCGACGCTGCAAGAGACTCCGTCGAAACCTCTTCAGATCCTCAGTCGCGGAAGAAGACGTACACCGTCCCGCGAGACACGCACGAGTTCGAGTCCAAGATCAACTACAACGGCATACCTGTCCCCGTCAAGATACCCACCGCGCTGAGTCCAGAGACTGTGGGCGACTTCTCCTTGATCAAGCTCATCCAAACCTTCTCCGCGCCCCATGCAGCGCAACCGCAGCCCTTCGCTTTACACCCACATCTGACTACGAGCGGCGCATTCACTCACCCCATCATCGTCCTCGTCAACGCCCTCCTCACACAGAAGCGCATCATCTTCATCGGACATAATCGCCCTTCAGGCGAAGTCGCTGAAGCTGTACTGGCAGCATGCGCTCTGGCCTCTGGTGGCATTCTCCGTGGCTTCGTTCGCCATGCGTTCCCATACACCGATCTTACTAAAGTAGATGATCTGCTGAAGGTACCTGGCTTCATTGCTGGGGTCACCAACCCTGCATTCTCGTACAAGCCAGAGTGGTGGGATTTGCTTTGCGATCTACCGACTGGTCGCATGAAGATCAGCAATCGCATTGAAACGGCGTCACCCACAGAGGGGTCAATGTTCTTCCAGCAACAGGGCCTACCACTAAATGGGCCAGGTGCACCACCAGCCTTTGACGGCAAGGGTGGCGGCGTTGACCCAACCGGCGACACCCAATTTATGGACAGACTTCTCGAGAGCATCGCCAACCGTCACGGCGAGAATGCTATCAGAGCGAAGTGGCGTTCGTGGGTACTCAAGTTCACTCGCATCGCGGCCGCTTTCGAAGAGACGGTCTATGGCGCTTCGGCATTGTACATTGGCTCCCACGAGACCGACGTTGGCGCATATGGTGTCTCTGGCCATGGCTACGTCTGGCCAGACGAGAACCATAAGCTGCGCGAGCTCGCTGCAAATGTACACCGTATCGAGGGCTGGCGCAACACAAGGAGTTACTACAGTTGCGTCCAAGATCTCGCGAGACATTGGAAAAAGAGACCAGTGCGCGGTCTTGATATTGGCCACCAGCACGACAAGCTGCGATGCTTGAAACTTACACACGATCAATCCGCGGGCATTTATCTTGCACTCGCGCGGTGTGTGGAAGAAGCGGGTTCACCACCTAGCGAGAGTGCGAATGCCTCTTCGAGTGATTTGTCGTCCATGGCCCAGTCACTTTCCATCGCGAACGACTCTGAGCGCAAGGCGAACTCGCAGCTGCAGTACGACACCATTCTGCAGCTGCTCTGTGTGATCCCAGATGCTGGTCTCTTCTATCTTAGTCTAGGCTTGTTTCATCCCCGACAGGATGTCAGGATGGCGGTCGTGAGATTACTAGAGAGGATCATGGACCACTCTGCTGGTCGGCACTACTGGGGACAATTAGGACGTTTCGCCAAGCTGGCCTTCTTCAGAGTGAAGAGGGAAGAAGCGCAGAAGTAGTTGTGATCGTCCTATGGAGTTGATGGAGTTGATGGAATTGCCGGTACAATACATGTCATGGAGTTTGTAAATGCTGTAACGTAGACATCTGAATGAATGAAATGACATACACATGGAGTGCCTAGCTACCCATCATGCAAACTAGTCGCCATGCAGTAAAGTCACGTCTGTCCCCAGACACGCTACGAACCGTTGGATGCACGCGCATCCCTGCATCGCATCTCATCTCCGCCTAAATCATACTCGCCCAAAATTTCCCGCTTCACCCCTCGAAATGCGCCCGCCCTAGTCGCCGTGTCGCAACGCCCATTTCGCCCTCCCTACTTTCTCAGACACGTTGCGCATGCTGTCTGCACGCCAATTGAACAGCGACAATGGCATCAGTACCACCAAGCGAAGCTCCCGCGGTTAAGAAACGCGGACGCCCGAAGAAAGTCGTAGCCGAGGATGCGGGGGCAATACCGGCGGTCGAAGCGAG